TTAAATTTATAATAAGTTAATTGATTCATAAAAAGAAAACTTTGAAGTCTTATAAAAGGGGGAAATGAAGAAGGGAAAGATGTCTTGGCCTCCAAATATAATTAGTATGAGTTGAGTTAGGTTTTTTTTATTAATTTATAAAAAATATTTTTTTCATCTCAAATTTGATTTAATGTAGATTTAGGAAGATTTTACTTGATTTAAAACTCAATTAATTTTTGGAGTAAAATTCATATTTAATCTAACCCAACACAAATATATATTTATTTTTATGTGACAAAATAAAGATTTAATTACCAAAAAAAATAAGATGATGTTATTATAATTATCCTTAAATACATAATAGATAATTACATTATTACTAGTATCTCAAATTTGGATGTGTATTTTTATTATATACTTGAAATCAATTTAATCATATCCTAAAAAATTTAATCTATACTTGATTTTTGAAAAGAATAATTGTATAAAATTAAATCTAAATTGGTCAAAATCAAATATATATCTTTATATTTAAGAGACTAGATGAATAATTTTATATTTGGAGGTGAACTAAACTTTTAGGATACGAAAACATTTTTTCAATAGAAAATACATAAAAATCTAAAATATATGATAATTTTAAATTCGAGCAAAACATTGCTACATCCAACACTCTTGAACCCTATAAACAAATCTTCGACACCAAATCCATATAAGCATACAAGTAGTTTCTGAATTGATTTCATATGAAAACAACTATCTCATGTCTAAAAACTATGAATTAAAACTCGAAAAAGCTCAAAAAAAAACTTAACTAGATTTAAACTCGAGCCTGAACCTTAAATTCACAAAAAATTTATACTACATTTTTTAAAAATAAACAAATAAATATTAATATTAATAATCATTTAATTTTTTAAAAAATAAAATCTTAATATATCATATTTTCAAATTGCTCACATGTTTTCGAGACAAATATCAACTAATTCATTTAGACTCATTAAAAACTAAAATCGTGCTCAAACTCAAATCAAATTCATTCAAATCGAATATTTATTGAACTTGGATTAAATCAATTTCAAATAACTCACAATTTATCTTATCTCATATATAACCCTACTGGTAACTATCCAAGCCTCGAGGTGTGACTCGATGAATTCGCCTGCCTTAGCTTATTCATCAAATTTCTCTTAATTGTAACATATTTTCTTATGGCCCAATTGATGTTTGGATCAAAGAAAACTTGCGTCTTCATGGATTAAAACATCACTTCTTTTATTAAAAGTCCATAAAGTACATGTTGAAATGGCAAACAACCGTTGGTGTTTACCTTGCGAAATAGGACAAGAGTACAATTTGTGCACAATAATTTTTAAATAAAGAAAAAAATGCTGTGCAAAGTCTAAGGTTAAAAAACCTGGGATTTTTAGCCCACAAGCACATTAAATTGTCGTTCCATTACCCTCTTCCGTTTTTTACCGTCACTTGTCTGCAAAAGTAAACACTTTTCATTAGCCTACAGAGAAAAATACAGTCAATCCATTCACCCCCATCTGAGTTTCATACTTGTAATGGAACTATTACCTGTGGACTCAGACAATGCGGAGCACGAACCCTCTTGGAGCCATCAGCCGATCGCTTACATTGAAATCGGTTTTCCAGAGATGCCATGCTATCACTTACCTACCATTACGACCAATAGCAAAAAGATTATAAATAACGGGGGGGGGGGGGAACAATGAAACTCTATTGCTTTTACCTGGCCTTTGATGGCTACAACTAGCAACTCCTGACAGCCGGACACATCCACATTTTGTAAACTTGGGCATTGAAGGAGCAATCTCTCTATGAAAACAAACAGTTTATTGGATACTTGTTAAACCAAAAGAAAACCAGAGGCTAAACTAGTAGATAGATTAAGCATACCTGGATGCAAATTTTTACAAGAGTTGAGATTAAGGTCGTTGAGCTCAGGACAATTCAAACATAAAGCCTGCATTGAGATTCAACAAATAAGAACCACATAGGATATTGAGAAGCAACTAGAAACATACTCGAGATTAAGGACTAAAAGAGCTCACATCTAAGCCAGAACAACCCCACAAGCTGAGTTTCTTTAGTCGGTTGTGTTTGATGATAAGCTTCTGGTACATAAGGTGCAGTTTATTGTTCAATACATTTGGAACTTCACTGTCAGAAGGTGGATTCTGAGAATCAGGATCGCATATTGTCATCCCACAATCCATAAGTTCAAGAAGAGGTAGTTGAGCCGTGGCAAACTGAATTCCACCTGAGAAATGCAGAGAAACGTGTTAGTGAATAGGTTTAGAGAAGAATAGGGCATTTACAGGATAAATGTAGCTATGCACAAGACGTATGTGTGAGTCTTAGACACGATGATTACTTGAAGTTATGTTGGGACAAAAAGCAAGGAGGAATCTTGACAATGTGTTTGGGAAAACATTGCAGATCATTCCAATTCCACTATCACTGATGCTAGACCTGAATTGAAGCAGCAAGCATCGAGAATATTTAGCCGAAGAATAACTAATAAAAAGTAATCCCTTCGAACCAGCACATATAAACGGAAAAACTAATTAAAGCTGGAGCAAAACAAACCCGCTGAGATTAAGCAATTCTAATCTAGAATAGCTTGAAGCAATAGCGGCGACATATGCATCGGTGATGTCTGAGCCAAGAACAAGTGAAAGCATTCGCAAGCCCCTGAACAATAGACAACCTTTATTAAACTAGTGATTATTTTACCCTCTAAATGCAGAGATCCCTGAAACAAAACATGGCATTGCTAGAAAACTGAACGGAGCAAGTCCATTAATCAGTACGATTTCTGAAAAAGCAAAGCAATGCCTATAGATTCATAAATTATACATAATTAAAATGAATGCATAGACCAAAAGGTTCAACAAACCTCAAATTAGCAGCCGGAAGAAAAAGCACAACAGCATGTGAAAGCCGATGCAATGCAATGTGTATGTTTTGCAACTTTGGACTTCTTCTGCCCATACCATCAACCATGGTTGTAAGATCAGTAGTATCATTTGCTTGGCGAGAAAATTCTAAGGATATCTCTTTCAAATTGGGACAGTTAAAAACCTACAATAGAAGGCAAATATAAACACCACAAATTCACTCGCATGCACCAAAAGGTTTAGAATTAAAAGTACAAAACGGACCCGATGAAAAAGTTACCATCTTAGAAAGAGAATAAAGATCAGAAAGCCAGAGAGTAGATAGACTTGATGAAGAGAGGACAAAGCCCCCTCAGCGTTTATCAGCAACAAATCGACCCAATTCATCTCTATAAATAAAACATTAATCAAAGTAAATCAGAAACACTTACTCTGCCATTTATGCAGCAGGAAATAAAACACTTTGCGTTCTTATGACAACATGGAGTTCTAGACCAATAAATCCAAAAGAGGGTATACACAAATTTACAAAAATTTCATCTTTACAATAAAATCTCAAATTAAAGGTAAGAAAAAGGTTAACCAGGACCCATCAACTAGATATGTCTATGCATTTCACCCTAACTTCAACCTTTCGGTCACTCAAACCTTCCAATTACTTTAGCGGTCAAAATACCGGTTAGTTTCAATCAATGAGCTACATATCTAAACCATTTCCGAGCACCAACAATCAAACAATAACAACAGTAGTAACAAAATTTATTAATTGAACAACTAGACATGCTATTTTAAAGATCTAATGATAAGGGGGAAAGAATAGAAAATATACCCTGTGATCCGATTGACAGCCCTACTCGATGTAGAAATCTCCATGGACTCCAAATTAGGACAAGAGAACGCAATGCAAGCCAGCATTGTTGCGTCCACATCACTGCAAAAACGCAAATGGGAAAAATAATTAGTAAAACAAAGGGTAATAAAAGTCCAAAAGCAGAACTGAAACAGATTGTTAGGAAGCATCCCTCCAAGTGAATTAAGATATTTTTCGGTCAATTTTTTGCTCCAAAGTTAATCCGGACTCTTATTAATCATTACATTGATTCTAGCTCGTGATTATAGCACAATTAGAGCAGTGCTTAGATCGAGCACAGACAGGCAGTTCTCATGGCATTACTGATTATGGACCAGTTTCAACTTTATCTTACTGCTTGTACATCGTCATATTATAAACAGAGTAGTTCTCATTTTCATGGATTCATCTTCATTGGAATCAACCGATCCAGCCAGCAAAGTCTTAGATCTGTCAAATGTTGGTTTAGAGCCGAACCTTTCCATCTTAAGAGAAAGTATAACAAGGCTGGGACATTTCTTTAAAACCAATCCCATGAATCTGAGCTGACCCCTAGGTGGGACCATGAGTTTCAGCTCCGGCTCCGCTGCCGCCCTCCACAGCCTCTTCGTCGTTTCTCTCCAACCTTTACACACACCTTCAGCCGCAAGCAGACTCGCCGGATGTAGTCTCCTCAAGACCTCCCACAAACACCCAGCCGGCAACCCACCGGAGACTATCTCATCATCCGGATCAAGAAAAGTATCCGGATGGGGAAAATCATAGCCGTCCAAATCGCGGTCCGGTGAGTCACAGCGAATATCGATATCGTCAAAGGAAAGCGCACGTCGGAGATGAGATGTCTGACGTAATGGCGGAGGCTGAAGAGGACGAGATGCGGAGGAGGAATTCTCGATGGCATTGGAGGCTGGACTCGACGTCGGAGTGGAAGTTGAAGTAGGGCTGGTGCCACTGCTGACTTGGCAAACGTGCCCCTTCTTAGGAAGCCCACATCTGCCACAGTTGTAACTGCCACGGGGCTTCGCCTGCTTGAAATCAAACGCCGCCGCGACAGAGTACGACGAGGCCGAAGAGGAAATGTGCGGCTGTGGATGGTGCATCGCCGTTCGGCAAACGGAAACAACAATGAAAGAGGGAAAACGAGTGAAAAGGGTGAGATTTTGGATGCTGAGCGGGGAAGAAGAGAGACCGAAAATAAAGCAGGGAGCGTTGGGCCGGGAAGAGGCGGGACAAAATAGCTACTTTTGGCGCCTGTTTTCCAAACCTATAAAAGGAAAAACGAAAAATTATACTATAACGGGAGGAGTGTGCTGCCCCGTTTTTATGACTTCTATTTACCTTTTAACCCTCACTCTTGGTAAGTGGCCAACGTTAATCAATTAAATTAAATTAAAAAAAATGTATAATAACAAATATTGCCTTTTAATGTCGAGGATTTTCTAGGTAACTAATATCCTTCTAAATCATATTTTAGATTTTATGACATTTTATCTTTTATTTAGGAAAATATTTTTTTTATAATTGGAGTTAAAAAAAATTATACATGTGGTCTCATTAAATTAATATTTATATTAATATATGTTTATGAAATATACCATATAATATATATTTTATTGAAAATACTTAAATTACAATTTGATCCTCATCTTTTCCTTTTGTCCTTATTATTTGGGAGACAGTAAAATCAATAATAAATTAATAACTACTCACGATTTTGATATCCTAAAAAATCCTCTATTATCAAAGTATAGTTCTTTTATTTAAAGCCGGCATCTGATGATTATTTTATTATTGTTATATTTTTTTTGACATATTTCTTTAAATAATTTTAAAATTAATCTTAAACACTAAAGGTTTTTTTTTTTAAATCACATTGTTTCTCTAAAAAAACCTAATATGTTACATCATTTGTCAATTTTAATTTGTCAATTAAAAACGCTAAAACGCGGCTTTTTCTATGATAAAATACATAAATGATTATCTTATTATAAAATATTTGTTTTATTAAATACATAATGATTATTTGTAACACCCATAGCTAATATAAGTCTTATAATACGAGTTAAATATGTTACATCAATTCAACAGACATTTGTTATTAAGCCTAAATGTTTAAAAATTTTGTTTCGTTTAAATTTTTTTATCATTAAAAAAACTTTTTCCTTTAGTATGCATAGTCATAACATAATAATTTATCGTTTTAAAGAAAGCTAATTTTATGCGGCAATTAGGCAGTTCCATATTATTTCATATCTATATACAACTGCCTAGTGTTGCTTGGTTTAAAATCATTCATAATATTCATTCATAAATACGATTCTAACTGAAATTAACCAAAATCAAAGCATTCCTAAATTACTATTAGAGATCATTTTTAAAATAAATTTGATAAAATAACCCAACGAATATAATGTAAATGTCACTAATAAGTCAAAGTTATGATGTCGTAATTTTGATTTTCACAAGATACTGACACGCTCCTCACTTCTCGTTATTTTCTTTATTCAAACATACGTATGAAAATTATCACGCGTGAAGTAAAATTTAACAATTTTGAATCTGTACTGGCCATACCGACTGTACGTTCAACCTTTTGATTCGCGTTCGCAATTCTTTCAGCAAATGAGTATTGTGACCGGTTTGTGCAAAACTTAAGTACACTTTTGCTCGAATGAGCTGATCTCTCATCTGTTACCTTGTGTGATTGGGACTGTAAATGTTGATCATGACTACCTGTCTCTTGATTGTATTGCTCCTGGAACAAATAGATTAATTTTAACTATATGCAACAAATTTATTAAAACTAAAATGACTTTCTGTAGATCTGACCATTTTGGAAAGAAGAAGAAAAACCCCACGTCCCCATCCCCACACCACCCAAGAAAAAAGAAAATTACCTTAAATTTGATGGCAATATTACCAAAGAAACTTGTTGTGGAAAAGAAGCCTTCCTTTTTCATATTCTCATACTGTTTTCTGGTATGGCTCAGATTTTAGATATGACCCATCACTTCACCAGTTTTTTCAGTACATTCAAACAAATACACAATGTAAATTTAGTGGGGAACAAATTAAAATACCATGAAAGAGCTTTGTGATACAAGTTGATATTAGGCGATGGTCTGGTGAAATTTGCAAGACATTTATAATCTCAATACCAGCTCAGGTTTTGGTGCAGCAAACCAAATCATCAACACTTCGTATAATTAAAAAAGAATTGAGAGATCTAGAGCATCAGGATTTGCTTTCACACACAAGATTAAAAAGCAAGCATTACTGCAATCATCTTCAGTCTAAACTTGCACTCAGGTGTATAGCATCTCATCATATTTCACAGTTCAAATAAATACACACCTTTTCCCTGGAGTTCATCCGTATTATATTCTGCATATTTATTTGCTCGACTTTCACTTTAACATAAGTTTCTGAATCTACAAAGTAGAGAAAACCAGAGTCACGTTAAGTCAATCATGAAAGACGCTATATGCACTCTAGTAATACAAACAACCTTTTGCTTCTAACAGTTTATCAGCATCTTCTGGATGCCTTGATGGATCCGAATCACGATTCCCATCAGAGTTGTGATGAACTGCATAACTAAAATCCTTCTCTTTGGAAACAACTACTTGTGGACCTTTCAAACCTTTGGCAGCTTCCTAAATAACAAAGCATGAAATGCATACTGTCAAAAGCACTTCAAGAAAAAACGTTCAAAGCAGCTACAACAGATCCATAAATCTCGAAGCTAACTGTTCTATTGCATTAAGTCTTATATCATCTGTCATATACTTCTGTATCAAACAACGCAAATAAACTCATTAGAAATTGGCCAAAAAATGAATAGAAGAAGTATACAACAGATCCAAGCAAGAGAGATTCGGTACAATACTGGCTAAATCCCCCCAAAATGCAAAAACAAGAATAGTCAACATCCCGACGGTTAAATTAAATAAAAATAGTAAATATAAAAAACAAAACATAACAAAAGATTTGAAGAAGATTTTCCAATAGAAGTGAGGGGTTTAAGTCTGCGAAACCAACACGATTTGAGCGATTACAAAGAAAGAGAGAAAAGAGAGGATTAGAATCCTCTGCCAATGACGACACTTCTTCATGAATGAATAAAAACTGCTAAGAAAATCCCTGAACTCTCAAACAGAAAGTAGAATATGATAATCGCTCTCCATTAATCGTTCTAAAAAAACACAGTGCAAAGGTTCAAATCGACATCGATTCATTTCCTCAATTACGAGGAATATGAGTTTAAATGAAATGAAAAAAAGAGCAGGGTTTCTAGTGGTGATTTTGCGGAAGGGGGAAAAGTAGTTGTGGACTTTCCTTCTCGGTAATCTTCATTTCCAGCTTCTTTTAAATTTTTTTTTTTTTTTGTCTGGAAATCTGGATTTATATATCAATATTGGGGTTCGAACTTTCGCAGAAAAGGATTTGAATCGCGGGAAATGCGAGAGTGATGATGCGTACGGAGGTGCCGCTGTCATTTAATATAAGTAAATCACAGGCAATCGAATAATTTTAGTGGTTAATTAAATTGTTATTAATTTTTAGTATTTTTAATTCGAGTAATATATATATATATAATAATAATAATATAATTTTTTATTGTTAAACGATTGAGAGTTTTAAAACATATATTATTTTATATTTATCTTATATGTATCAAAATAATATATATATGATTTAATAATAAAATAAATATTTAAACTATGAATTGAAAATCGTTTTAATGTCTAAAGAATATTTTCTTAAAATTATATGTCTAACTTTTTCTCTTTTACAATTTTACGTGCTCGTACGTTAATCGCCGTTAAAAATACTTCGTTAAGTGACGCGTGTCATGTTATGATAATTTTAAAAATTCTATTTTAATATTTCTTTGAGAATCTTAATTTGGGTTGAATTTAATAATAAAAGGATAAACTACTTCAAATACCACTCACTTTTAAGCGTAAACTCGAAATGTCACTTACGTTTCAATTTTGTCAATTTTAGCATTGATGTTTATATTTAACTCTAACTATGTCACCTAACTATTAATCGGTTAACGGCGCGATGACAGGGCAACTCTACACCGCGACGGTGATGATGTGGCATCCTCACCAAAACGACGTCGTTTTGACGCAATTGTTTTGATGCTCAAAAACCCAAAACTAATATACATGTTTAATGGTAATTGTATACTTTCATCTTCCTCGTTGATTTAAATTTATAGCTTCAGTGATGTCAACCAACAACTCGACGAAACGTCAAGATCAATAAAATTAAATATTTTTAGATAAAAAAGTTATGTTGGGTTGGTACGCCTTTTTTTTCCTTTCCAGAACCCTTTTTTCATTTTTTGGGTTGCAATTTTGACTATATTAACTTATTTGATTTCTTTTTCCTACAGTGTTACAGCACTATGCTGTTGTTGCCTTCTAAATGCATGCTTTTGATGATTTGCGGACAGCTTTTAGGTTTACTGGAGTTTATTATTCCATTGTTTGATTCTCATGTACACTTCGAGATATATATATATATATATATATATATATATATATATATATATATATATATATATATATATATATATCATTTGATTTTTCCATTATTTATGAAAATGGAGATATCAAACCATTTTTGTTTCTCTTCGTATACATGTTATGTTTGAGTAAATTAATTTCATCGAGCTTGACATTTCATCGAGCAGTTGATTAGCATCATTGAAGCTATGAATTTGAATTGACGAGGAAGATGAAAGTATACAACTACTGTTAAGCATATATATTAATTTTGTTAAAAATATAACATGTTTGTAAGTTAGTTGGGTGGTTGGGTGTTTGGCATTGGTTCATGAATATTTTGGTTTGAATTCCATGAAAAGCAATTTTCATCAAATAATTCTAATAAAACGTAGTTTTGGGTTTTTTTAGCATTAAAATAATTGAGCCAAAATGGCGTCGTTTTGGTGATGATGCCACATCATCACCGTCATGGCGTAGAGTTGTCATGTCATCGTGTCGTTAACAAATTAAAGGCAGTGTGACATAATTAGAATTAAACATAAACGTTAGTGTTAAAATTGACAAAATTGAAACGTCGGTGATATTTTCAAGGCCACGCTTAAAGGTGAGTGGTATTTGAAGTAGTTTACCCATAGTAAAATTTGAGATTATGGTTAGGAATTTGGGTATTAGGGTTAAGGATTTATGTTTAGAAATTTATAGATTTAGGGGGATTTGGTGTTCGATCGGTTATAAAAGTAAGGGGTTTTGGTCGTGAGTAATTGGTTGGTCAGACGTCGTTTGATGTACGACCGATTGACGGCGTTAATGGTGGTCAACGATGACAAAGGGATTAGAATTAAAGTTTTAAAAGTTTTGAGTTTTTTTAAAAGGGGATTTAGGTTTTTTTTTAAAGTTATATATATTTTATTTTAAATATAAATTCTCAAAATCATAACGTGACATATATCACTTAACGGAGTTTTTCAACGACGGTTAACGTTCGAACACCTAAATAATAACGGAGAAATCATTAGACATTTACTTTTAACAAAAAAAATTATACATTAAAATGGTTTTTGAGATATATCATGGGTTCGATTAGTTTTTTTATTAATATGGGATAAATACATTGAATTAATTGATCACGATTACTTCTTATTGGTCTTGAAGTGAATAGAATGAGTTTGGAGACATTCGGGATAAAGCTTGAGCCTTACCATATCTTAGTGCAACCTGGTAAAGCTTCAGGTCATGCCAATGTCAGGTGAACCACTGCATGCTGCAATATTATCAATTGGTCATTGCATTTGGCAGAAAAAAGTTTATCAAGTATCACTATGTTTCGCACACTCGTGTAACATGTTGTTTGATACTAATTGTGCTCTTTTTTGGTTTGGGGTGCCCTTTGGTTTATGCCATTTTCTATTTGGTAGGTAGCCAGGTAGGCCAATTAATGACTGTTGTACCATGCTCGTATCCGAGTATAAAACCCGTAAGTACTTGAAAAACAGTGATTTCATGGATTTTGGTCGGTATATTTAGGGTTTTAATCGGAACATTTAAAATTTCTGCCTATACCTACCCACCAAAGTAGGCAATGCTTTTGGTCGAGGTTTCTGGCACTGCAACAAACAAAGCTCTATAACTGTCATCCGTTTTAACCTCGTTTTTGGCGTGGTCGGAACCTTTTTCATCGTTTCCCAAGTAGCTTTGCCTCGTACCATTTATGCCGTGTATCTTTCCTTACTTTTTTGGCCAACATGTGTTGCATGTTAAGTTCACAGATTAGAATATAACCACCATCTCATGTAAGATCGGTTTCACCTTTTTTTTTTTGGGTAAAGTACACAAATGGTCCCCCGATTATAGGGTATTATTTTATTAAGTTCATCGACTATTAAAAGTTATAAAATAATGATACATCAAAGTAGATATATTTCTCAATTTTTTCGATCATGATTTTCAGAAGAATGATAATATCGATATTCAATGAGATCATTCAAATGATAATTTAGAATATCTATTCAACATTTTTAGATTGAATTGTAAATATTCAAATATCTTATATATTATTGTCACGAGGAATAGTAAATACAATTTGTACTCTTTTCTTAATGGATATTTTTTCCTATTAAATTATCTTAATTTTTATTTTAATTAGATTTTGAGTTACATTATCTTTAATAAACATTCAAAGATGAGTTATAAATATTTTTGTATACATAAATCTTTATTATGATTAAAATTTTATATATTAAATAATATTGTTATGCCTATTAAAATTAAAGTTATATATACTTAATGCATATATTTTTTTCTTTATCTATCATACCTCTTGTTATTGTTTTTATTGCATTTTATTTATTTCACAATAAATATTATTTTATCTATTGACAATTATTATTTATAAACTAAATGATTACAACCCAGTAACGACGTCGTATAGTAAGGTTACCCGTTTTCCCTAGGGACAGTCGCCACCGACCCAAATCTTGTAATGGGAGCCTCCGTTGAACTTGTCTTATTTTTTTTTAAATAATTACAAAAATAAATGGAAAAATACATAATAATAAAAACAAAAGGAAACTCTTGGTTCATGCTCCTTTCGACGAGTAATTTTCTTCTTCTTTTCTTTTGATTTGTTTTTGGTTAGATTCAGATCATCGTTGCCTTCATCTTCTCAATAACCCTATTCCTCCATCTTCTTCTTCGAGAAAAATCACCATTGTCTCTTCTTAATTGTAGTTTTTCCCTTTCCTCTCTTGTTTAATCTCAACCCCCACTTTTCAAATTAATACCATCTTGCTTGTGCACCCAAATCTCTTTTACTTTTACTTCTCGTTCATTATCGAGCTCTCTCTGTTTATAACCCTTCTTTCTTCTTAGTGTTTCTGTAATCGGTTCTAATGCAGGTTTTTTGTGAAGACGTGTACGTAAAATTTGCTTTGCTTGTGTTTGATTGACATGCAGTGAGAAGGATACGTGTACGGGGTTATTGAGTTGGAATTGAAAAACAAATAGAAGGGTGGGAATCCAAGGAGGAAAAAAAGAGAGAAAGAGAGATGGCGAATCAGGTCGTCAAAGCGAAGAGAGAAGCGATTGCGGCATGCATGACTTGCCCTCTTTGCGATAAGCTTCTTAGAGATGCCAACACCATATCTGAATGTCTTCACACTTGTGAGCCTATCTCCTTCCCTTCTTTCAGATTTCAAATTTTGTTCCTTTTTAAGCTCATTTGTTCTTAATTCTTTGTTTTTTATATTTTTTTTTCTGCATTCCTTTGCGTTCTGGTTTTCTTCTGATCTGGGTTGCTCTTGTTTTTCTTGGTTTTGCTTCTTATCCTCAGTGTTGACCTGTTCGTCTAATTCTAGTACTAATATACCATGCCTTGATAAACTTATGGTATTGCTGTTTTCCTTCGTTTCCTTCTGTTTCTTATTTCTTGATGCTAAGCAGCAAAGGCATTATGGTACAATAGCAAAATTAATACGAGAATACTTGTTGCTGATTAGTTTAGTAAACTAGTAACATCATGTTTCTTTGTTGATGTCCAGTTTCTGCTTTTAACAATACAGTTTGGTGATCGAGAAAGTTGATTTCCAATATAATTCATTCATGGCTTCTGTTTATTAGACTGTAAATCCGTATTTTTTTGGACTCAGTTGTTTTCCACATTAAGCTGAGCCTTTCCACCATCATTTTCTTCATTTCCAATTCAAGGGTCCTTCCCAACATTGGAGCTTCCCTTTTCTATTTTGTAAATCCATAATAAGATTCAAATTTTAAGATGGTTTCCCAGTTTTGAAATGGAATGGAACCAGCCTTTTTCCAAGTTAAAGAAGAGTTTCAATCGCCATATTTATTTTGCTTTCTGAGCTTGGTTTCATTGAAACATTTTCTAGGATTGATGCGTGTGGTCTTTATTTAAGCGCCAATGAAGTCTGTTGAGATAATTAATAGAAATCTATGATAGATTGGTCTTTTGAATTTGTTTAGTTTGCAGAAAGTGCATATATGATAAGATAGAAGAGGAAGAACTAGAATGCTGTCCAATATGCAACATCGATTTGGGTTGTGTTCCTCTGGAGAAATTAAGGTACCCTTCATTGACCTATTATTCTCCTCTACCAACCTGTAAGTCCTCAATGACACTTTCTTTTAATTTAAGGTGCCCCTAGTTTTAATTTTGTCAAATACTACCAAATATTATTTACTTGTTTCAAGCGGTTCTAGCAAAGTTTACTGATTTCTTCTGAATGCCATAGGATCATTAGTTTTTATTTTTATTAATTCAAATTAGGGGATAGTAAATATTGAACTGGAAATATCTAGTGACGGGTTAGCTCTGTTATGCAAATGTTAGAATTCTATTGTGCGTCTCTCAGTGCCAAAATTTAAGGTGAAAAATGTTGAACTGGAAAAATGACCTTATAGTTGCAGCTTCTGGCTTTCCTGTATAATGAATCCTTTTGAGTCTTTCTGGGTTGAGCATCCACACACAATGCACTATATTGGTCAATTAACATAATGGAAAGTTTATTGTGTATTGAGATTCGTGTGTGCTTGTAATAATCAGACCAGACCATAATTTGCAAGATTTGAGGGCTAAAATCTTCCCTCTTAAAAGAAGAAAAGTTAAGGCCCCTGAAGTTGTGCCCCCGGTTACAATGCCAGCTAGAAGAAAGGAGAGATCACTCTCTTCATTGGTGGTTAATGCCCCCAAAGTGTTATCACAGACTTCCATGACTGGGAGGAGAACAAAAGCTTTTACCAGAAAGGCTGGTGGTTTACGACATTCCAGCTTTTCGATTGAGAAGCCTGTTAAAAAAGATGAAGACTCTATGGAGGATAACCGGGAGAGTGCAAGCTCACCTGAAACGCTAAATAAATTCACCCAGAATAAAAGACAGGTAATTTAAAGACATTCTTTTAGGCTAGAACTTTTATTCTCACGGGGCCTAATATTTGTTCTCAAACATCCATTCCACTTGAAAGTACTGGTGTTTTAGCTTAAACTGATAATACCTGTCGTGTTATAAAATTGAACTACACAGTGTACTTCTTCTGCCGAACATATTCAACACATGAATAAAGAAGCAGAGAATGGAGGTGAAACATGGGATGGGAAATTGGAGCTCTGGAAACCTTTGAATTGTTTGGTGGAGGTCGCCAATCGGAACAAGTCCTTCAAGTCCAATTCTCAAGGCTCTGATTCTAAATTAGAACCTACTCGTGTCCCCAACATTGAAGCTCAAACTTGCAAAAGCAAATATAGAGAAGACAAATGCAAAACAAAAGTTGAGGATGAAAAGTCAAATGCTGGTCCAGCAACTTCAGAATCTGTTACACCTAAGAAGCTGCGCAGGATCAGTCGAAAAAGGGCTTCAGGATATGGGGATTCTGGCATTTCTCCTCGGGCAGTGCTAGATGCTGCTGGTCCGAAGAATGAAAGAAGAATTGGTCCTGTTTGGTTCTCATTAGTGGCCTCTGAGGACCAGTAAGAGTTTATTTGAGCCTTCAGAGTTTATTGAAGATGGTTTTTTTAAGATTATTGTCTTTGGTTATAAACTGATTCAGATGTCAATGCTTTCAGGGAAGGAGATGCACCCCTCCCGCAAATTTCTGCAAATTACCTTAGGATAAAGTAAGTTCCTTTGTCCAGTTTTTTTTTCCTTGTCTGACAATTGCTTACTGTATATATTCTTCTTCCTTTTGGTTGAAGATCATAAATTTTATCTGTTGCTTGTTAACACCATGATTCTGACCTGTCAGCTATCTTGTTTTCTGTACCACAATCTCCTCTAGTATTTCACTTTGGAATATGGAAAAGGGAACGGACACATAGTCTTTACCAATTTCATAGAGGAACTAAATAAATATTATCCTGGTGGAGTCAATGAGGTCATAGATAACTCAAGTTATATAGCGAATGTTAATGGACTGAGAGTAGAAGGATATGGGTGAAGGCAATGGTACTAATATCCTGGCAGTCTTTGGTAATGCTATATAAAGACCTGGTACGCTCAAGGTAAACAGGAAAAATGTACGTAAAGGTGTAGTAAAATATTACTTTGATCAGGAAGTACTTCAGTTTTAGATTGTTTTATATGCAGATGCCTCTAGTCACTTCCTACTATTAATTCATCTCCCATCAACTTATCATGAATGAATCTTTTTCCCATTTTATGTTCCCTTGGAAGGTGTTAATTTTGCATTGCGGAACATTTATGACATTTGGCATTTGTTATCCTTCTTTAACCTTAATCATTTTGGAATGCCTTCTGAGCACGGTTGCCTAGATCTTAGCTTAAATTATTACGGACAGGTAATAGTTATCTCCTGAATGGCCTGTTTATATCATGTGATGAATGCTGAAAAGGAAATAAAAGAAATAATATGTTACTTGGTTCTATGTCGCTTGGACTCTTCATTTTTCTTGAAGTACTCGTGCCCTACACTTATGTCTGACACATGGATATGGGGATATGACCTTCAAGGATCCTTCCAATACATAAAGAAACTTAGATACAACCAAACATTTTAACTTGACCTTTGTTTCCTTCAAGTGGTTTGGTCTGTCATCACTAGCTAAACAACCACTGTCGAATTGTTAAGTGCTTTCTCCTGCCTGTTTTTGTGCTTTTTCCTCTCCATACATCTAATTGCATGGCAAGTTTACAATTTTTTGTATTTGGTTAGTGATTTTTTGTTAAACTAAATCAAAAGGTTCTAAATCAACGATAGTTATTTGTTAGTGTTCCATGACAAATTTGGTAAAAAATGTTCTGCTCATCATGTGTTGCTACAAAAGCATGAAGTTGAACTCATCTCTGATTTCTCAAATGGTAGAATGATTAGAAATTTCTTTCATTACTGGGGGTGAATATCATACTTCTTTTATTCTGTGACAGGGACGGAAATATGCCTGTTTCTTTCATTCAAAAATATCTGAAGAAGAAACTGAACCTCACTGATGAAGCTGAGGTGAGTTAATCTCTCCTTGAGTATTGTTCTGTAACAATACACGAAGAACAAATTTTACCATAAAGATTATGACTTCCATTTTGGTTTTCAATGTTTATTTTCCCATGAAGCTCATTTCTAAAATGTTATAGAGATGCTTTATTCTCCACTTCATGTACATGGGATAGCGGTATGCATTTATAACCAACCCGTCTTATGCATGGAATCCTCGTCTTAGTTTCAATCCTATTTGATAAAAAATTTCGGCAATCAGACGAGGTTGCTTAAGCTTGCATTCTTTGGTAAACAAGGTGCATGGCTTTTATTACATTTTTGGGTTATATTTCTTGTCAGGTTGAGATCAAATGCATGGGACAACCTGTAGTTCCCACATTGCAGTTGTATAATTTAGTCGATTTGTGGCTACAAACAACAGCAACATCACAGCGGGTACCGGCAACCATTGGTTCATCCGCAAAGGAATTCGTCATGGTGTTGGCATATTCACGAAAAGTTCTAGATGAGTAATAATGCTGTCTTTGTCTCATTCTTTTCCCCACCTCAATCAATAAATCTCTTTATCTATCTCTTTATACATTGGAGTTTCATTGTTATAAGAGTTGGGACATTTTGACCCGGCATGTATTTTCTTCTACATAAGCTATATATTAAACGAGACTTGGTTCTTATAATATCATGGAGATCTTTGTGAATAATCTTTCATTGGCAACTCAACTGGTTCTTACACTGTCCATTCACAAGGATCAATATTGTTCTTGCAGTGATCCATGTTTCAAGACAAGAATGATAGATCCAAACCCAGAGAGAAAGGAAGAAAATTTATCATCACAACAAAAGTACCGTTTTTGACTTAATTTTGGGTATCTATCTTCAGTTTTAGATCAAAGGCTTGAATCCCTATTATTTTTCAAAGCATTACATATAAAAGAACCAATGAAGAAAAAGAATTCTAAAAGTGATCAATTTATCAGCGTTAAATTAACAATTTGGATTTAAACGCGGGTGTACCTAGCTCCGGTGGGGCTGCCTACAACCGAAAACAGTCCACCCTCGGAATCGTCAAGTTCATCGGAGTACAAATCTTCCGTTCCCCTAAACGCAGCGTGTAGTGTCACGATAAAAGCCCCAACCAATACGGAAACCAACACGTTGAGCCAAACGTCGGTAAAAACTAGGTCAACAATCGTAAACACGGTGAGGATGACCAGCACGACGCGGTCGTCGATCGGACGGTTGAGGATGACCAAGGGATTGTCGCGGAAGAAGTAGAGGAAGAACCAGGCGAGGAAGACAACCAAGAAGACTATCATTGAGATTGGATGCCATAGGAGCTGAGGAAGAGGATTAGCAGGATTATCATAGCGTAGTTCACCCGGAAGTAGTTGAGGTTCCGCTTCATACGGGCGGTAGCGTCGCCGAATGAAATGGGTCGGGCGAAGGACGACTCTCAAGCTTCGAGGATGGAAAAACAATGATCGTCTACTTGAGTGAAGTACATAGATAGTCCCGGACTATAAGTAATTTTTTTTGAGTCCCCTTATTATTAGTAATTACAAATTAATCCTTCAATTATAGAGCATTACATTTTCCGAGTCTTTCTACTATTAAACATTATAAAATGGTCATATGTTCTAAGCTCATCATTTTCCATTAAAAATTTGACGACTGTTTGAGTTTGACATTAATTTATTGATTGAGATATGATAAAGAATCATTTGAATTATATTTTGTGGATCAATTCTTCAATTATATTATATCATCATGTCAATGATCGAAATATTATGCAACTAAGTCGATTCTTGAAACTAACTAGTAGACATCATTAAAATATGATTTTATCATATTTATGTTAATAAGTTAACGTTCAAGTCAGATGATCGTCAATATTTTAACTGAAAATGTCTGATTTGAAAAATATAAATAATTAAATGATCATTTTATAATTTTTAATAATCGAATGACTCAACAAATCAATATCATTTAACTGGTAGACCATTTGTATAATTTACTGTTCTTTAATTATTTCTCGTTTGGATGAGATCTTTTAAAACGGCGGCGTTTCACATGGAATCCTCACGTGTCAATCCATCTATTGTTGTTAATTTATTCTGGTATTAAGTGGCGTTATTAATTATTTATTAACAACCTAAAACAGTAAAGGCAATTCGATCAATATTAAATTTTGAAATTTGTCATTTTTTAAAGCGTATCTACCATGAATATAATTTTAAAAAGGATTTGAAAAAAAATCCTATTAATTTTATTATTTTCATGAAAAATAATTTAATATATATAGCGTGTAAAATTTATACAATAATATTTATTTATGATTTTTATGAATTTTAATGTATTTATCAAGTTAAGATTTATGAAAATATGATTTTTAGGAATTTTAATGTATTTATCAAATTAAGATTTATGATTTAAGGTTTTAATCTAAAATATAGTAATTGAATATTAGGATTTAAACTATGAGTTCATACATATACAAGTGATATACACTATACTTTGCATTGATTCCATTCAATTTAAAAAATTAAATTTCAAATCGAGTCATAAAATATAATTTGAATAACTCAAATAATTTGAATTTTTTAGTAATTAGAAGATCAAACTTTAAGTAAGCAAAGTCCTTTAATTTTGTACAATATATATATATCACATATGAAAAAAGAAATATGTATGTATTATATATGTTTACAGAAAACCATTTAAACTGGAATCAAATAGCACCATAATGTTATAAATATTTATAATTAAATTTAAAGATAAACGTTAATAACTTGACTTGACTCGAAAAAAATGAAATAAAATTTAAATTATAAAATAAAATTAACTAAAAATTTTATGTCTCGACCTGATCGATCGAACGCTATCCCTATTAAAAGTACATTGAAATTAATTAAGTTTGGAGAGTATGTTTAATACAACGTTGTACATTTATTATATGTAGATGGAGTAAACGTAATTAAAATTAAATAAAGCGAGGGAATAAATGGTACACGTTACTTTCATCAGTTACTACCATCTATTTTCTACCTAATTTTCTATTATTCTTAAACAAAATTTAAAATTTTATTTTAGCATTATTCTATTTTTTAATAATTTTTAGTGAATATAAGATAATGTCTATTCAAATACTTTCAATCACTTAACATATCACTACATACATGTTAAAACCCGAAACTTTAAGAGATAACAATAATTCATTAACTATTGAGATTGTTTATTTCATGCTAACTCGACTCTAAATTAAATTGACATTGATTATGGTCTGTAGGACGAAGCTAGGATTTCGATTTAAAGAGATAAAATATAATTAACAATAGAAAATGAAGAGACAAAATTAAAATAAATTAAAATTTAGACCCCTAATTTAATTATTTTTTCTATATACTTTTTTAATAATAAAAGGGGCAGTGGCCCCCTGGACAAAGGGTGGCTTCGTTCCTAGTCGTATGTAAAATAACTAAGGCATACAAACCACTGTAATCAATTAATTAATATTTTCTGTCATTAATCATTATAGTGTTGATGTAGTAGTTTATTTGTCATATTTAAATTATTCATTTAGTATATTTATCATATCATTTGTTATGTCATCAATTATTATAGATTATCATATTAACATTATGAACTGTCACGTCAATACCGTAACAGTCAACGACGAAAAACATTAACTAAGAGATTAAATCAATTTTTTTTGTCAAGTTGAAGGTCATGAGAAAAAAAAATAGGATGGTCGTAATAATTTTTTCCAAAAGTACAGGGATCACTTATGTATTTTTGCCGATTATTAAAACATGATGTAAAAAGGAATAAAAGAAGAGAATTGAAGGGTGAGTCTCAATGTGCCCAACCCTTGACCAGTTTCTCAACAACTCTGCAATTTACGGTAGTACAAGACAAAGTGTAAGGAACACTCAAAGCTTGTCTGGTTCCGGACCAAGTGACAATTAAAAAAAATTATGAAACTGAAATGGTAGTCTTAAGCAGTGATTAAAGACCTAGAAATGGCAGGAAAAGAAAGAGAATAAAATGGAGAATAAAACCAAGGTCTGCTGCTTGGGTCCCATCGTCAAATCTGTGATGGAGACGGCGGTTTCATTGCTTCATTCCCCCACCCACCTTTGGCAATTTTACCCAAATAACACACTAACAACTAATTATTAACTCTAAGACACTTTTTATCCAAATATTACTGATTTAATATACTTTCTAACTAAACGGATAATGAGGCGTGCCTTCGCAGGGTTTTATCCGAGTTTGTGCCATGTAGCAAAGATGCAGATCATGAAACGTACATTCGCTGAGAAATCTGACACGTTCAAGGAAGGCGCAGATCATGAGGTGCGCATTCCATTATTCACTTTGAATTATTGATCACTCCATTATTACCTGAGCCTTAACAATATTAAATTATTGTGAATTTTTAGCATTATTTTATATTTTAATTTGTATACTATTTATTTAATTAGGTGTATTTCAAAAATTATTTTTATAGATATACGACTCAATCTTTCAAACTCTCAAAATGAGGCGTATTTCAGCTATTGTATACTATGATGAAGAAATTCAGGAAGATAAATCAGCGTTATATTCGCATCAAATCATTCACTCAGAATAGACTTCAAGAAAGACATCATTCTTGAGGAGCTGATCACTAAAATTTCAAGGAAGGTTCATGTTGTAACTACTATAAGATTGTCCTCACTTCAGTGCAGATTTTCAAATGCACTATTTTCGTTAACTTAAACAGAGTTCGAATTCTCAAACGATGATGATGTCGCTATGATCCGTGATGTTCAGAATCAAAATTCAAACATTGATACACAAATGTATGACACATTTGTTGAAGTGTCTACGGTTTGTGGTATGTCATTATGCTCCTACTATGGGTTGGCTCAACAAGCTGATCAAGTTGACAGCCCAACTCAAGTAATGTGTAATGATTTTAACTCGTTAAGGCGAAATCCACATCCTGTTGCCATCCTAGTAAGTTCAATGGGGAGACATTCATTAGCAACTTGTTATGATCTCCACCGAAATGGCTCTATGAACAATCCATATGGCAACATCGTTTCCAGTTCAAGGGGAAGACATTCATCTACCAATTTCTTTGACATGAATATGGAGATGTCCTCGACACAACAATTTATTCAATATCCATTTGACACGATGCCTATAAGTCCAGGGGAGGCATTCAACTGCGAGTTTTTTCGACCTCAATATGGATATGCATGCGATACAACACTCATTTCAAAACCCGTACGATAATGCCTTTAAGTTTAAGGGGAAGAGATTCAACTACTAGCTTGTTCGACCTAAATATTGACATCATAGAGGAACCCTCATATCCATCAGAATAATCTTTTCATGAGCCACGTGCAGATGAAATTGAAACTGGATTATTTGTTAAGTCATAATCACTGCAATTCAATATAGACTCTAATGATGATGATTTAGATGAAGGTCCCACAAATATGATACACGTGAAACCTTCAACACATATGTATGAAGCTGACTATGATACAATGTATGGGCCAAAATTTGTGAATATTGCCTAATGTTGGTGACTACATATTTAACTCATCAATCAATGTTGATGAGTTATGTATCGTAATGGAGTTTTCATCCAAAAAAGAATCGATAATTGTAATTAAGAATTATAATATTCGTAATTATGTTCACTCTAGAGTCGACCGATCCACCACCAGAAAATATGTTTGATGTTGTGTCTAACGTGATAACGGATGTAATTGGATAGTTCATGTATCAAAGAGGAAGAGGAAAAAAACATATGAGAACTAACAGTATACAAAGATCATCATACATGTATTCTAGAGGGATCATCCAAGATCATCCAAACTTAGAGTCGGACATTATCTACCAAACCATCATGCCTATGATCAAAACAAACTCCCATATAGCTATTGTGGTGCTGATTTCAGCTATATAGTCTCAGTATGAGTACACTATCTCCTACAGAAAAACATGGAAGGCAAAGCAGAATGACATTAAAAAACTTTACGACGAGTGGGATTCATCTTACAACGAACTATTAAGTTGGTTTAGGGTAGTGCACAGACTGAATCCTGGGACAATAGTGGACTTTGAAACTTACCATGAATACCACAATGATTAAGCGCTTCGCGATTAATGCCAATTCTATCTATTTTTTAGACTTAACCACAATACATTAATGTTGTGAAATACTATAAGTCTGTGGTTCAAATTGATGGGACATTTTTGTATGAAAAATACAAGCAAGTTTTATCATTGACAGTTATCCAAGATAGTAATCGCAACATTCTTCTAGTTGTTTTTGCCCTTGTTGAAGGAGGAGATACAAATTTTTGGGTTTTTTTCCTAAAAAACTTACACTTACATGTTGTCACGAAGAAAAAATATGTGTCATTTCATATCGTAAGCGGAGATCAAAGCAACAATAGAGTTTTTGGGTCCAATGTGGCAGTCACCCTAAGTCCAATAGACGAATGACGATGTAGTACCTCCATAGAATAAGGAGCATGGAGGTGTATGACTAACCATCTTATCGCTCATAGAAAACTCTGAAAACATCGACATCGATGAATGCAAAAACTAAGGCGGAGGTGTCTATGTCTCTGGTGAAGCATCACCCACCAAATAAGTAGCATATGAAGGCCACGTTCGATCTATAAACATGAGAGTATATCTGCTAGGAGGTGTCATAGAACCCTACGGTGGTGACATCTGAAATGACTATGGTGGCATCGAAAACGGCTACAATGTCATCTGAAATGGCTATGGTGGCATATGAACCGACTGTATAATATAAATCGATGGTTGCTATGATGGTTTCGGTGTTGTAGCTGATGACAAGCCAGAAATGTTTGCTCTCAATTCATGAGTCGGGGGACGATGATGTTGTGATGATGGATGTTTTTCTCGACGCTGATGAATGTTCCAGCGTCGTGCTTCATCGAAAAGTAGGAACGACTTCCCGTTCCTGTTGAACTACTGATAATAGTCATCCATAATCGAATAATGATCCACATAAATCGACTCTCTACGGGAAATGGATCCATGTTGATCCTCCTAGATCATCACCCACTCGTTGTGCTTCATCATTCAGTTGACTTCTTTTTTGCCCCGTCTATTGATGTTATGCATATTGTCGAGATTCATAGGTACTTCAGGAATAGATTGTATGAAACTATATTGGCAGAGCACGAGATCAATATGATGTCACTCAACAATAGCATAACATATCAGAGAAACCATCGCCATCTATACATCTAATGGGCCACTCAAGTGAGGTGAGATGCAACGTCTTATTTCTTCAGTAGAATAAGGAGTCCATTAAAACTAAAACAAATATATATATATATATATATTTCTTATCAAAATAATATTCTAATTATATAACGACAATTAAAGGTAAATAATAAAATTTAAATACATATCTCTGTACCAACCTTTTGATCAATGAGCATCCAAATTTATTCCAATTCATCTGGTATATCACGGTGATATTTCCTTATAGATGACCACCTATTCAGTGTATTGTTTCATTATATACCAAAAATATTATTTATATACAAACTCAAAATTGAAATTACCTACACAATAACGGAAATATTAACAGGGTTTTCACGACCGAACATAGAAAGGGCATGCGATACCACACCCATGATTGCAGAAGAAGGAGACATCACGACCGAGCATTTTTTGATAATCAGTTGCTCGACACATTCTTTAGACAGAGATGTTAAAACTGCAGAGCCCTAACTAAATAGTCCGACAACTCGAAAATCTGTTATATGACGTAACAACATACAACGAACTTGGTTACGAGATTTATCGGGCATCAAGATCCATCCTATGAGTTGCAATATGCAAGCCCAAACAAATATTTGAGCATGTTCCTCGGAACATTTATTGCTCAACTGTCGAAAATTTATAGCTAACAATGATAATGATATTCGACCACCGTTGAAATTATGTGAGATACCTCCAAGATATTATTCGCAAAAGGAATACCGATCACTATCTGCCACATCAAAAATAACATCCTCATCTACTAGAAGCCCCAAATATAAAAAAACATCATCCAGCATAATAGTACACTCACCACACAGAATATTGAATGTGTGTATCTCTGGTCTCTACCTCTCAATCAATGCAGAAATAAGGTTGAATTCAAGGTTACAATACCCTTTATATTTCGCTATGTAACTAAATCCAACCTCAGCTAAATACGATCAAACACGACTTAATATCTTTAATTTAACGTTCGAATAAATAGATCTAATATAATACAATTCACCTAATTAAATAAATAGTATACAAATTAAAATATAAACTAATACTAAAAGAATGAATAAAACATTCAAAATAAAGAAAATAACATAATTTAAAATTATTACTGGATCGGTAAAATGACTCGATATATGATTCTCATTTAAACGCAATAACTCGCCTGCCATTTTATAACTGAAAAAAATAATAAAAAATTATTACAATAAAATATAATAAAATAATAAACTATTAAATGATTATAATAAAAAATTTAGTGTCTAAATACGATAAATATACTTACTTATATCTTGATAGAATGATATATAGAAGGAAAAATAAAATGTTTTTTGTGTGGTATGAGTGTTGGATGAGGGATATTTATAGGGGAAGGGACTAGGGGTTGGGCGATATTTAAAGTGGGACGGTTTAGATTTAAATGCAAGGCACGTATTATGATTTGTGTCTTTTATCACATGTCTGATTCTCAGTAAAGGCGCACTTAATGATCCGTATTTTAACTCGGATAGAACTCAGTGAAGGCTGCATTATGATTCATGTTTTTCCACCGTGACGTCAACTCGGACAAAACTTTGTGAAGGCACGCCGCATGATCCGTGATTTGTCAGAAAAAATGTTAGATCGATAATATTTAAAGAAAGAATGTCTGACAATTAATATTGAGCTGTTATTCTGATTTTTGGGTAAAATTGCCCCCTCCTTTACTTATTTAAATCTCTCCCTTCCAATTGAATTTCTTTCCCTGTCTCAGTAATATAATATAGTAGAAAAGATGGCAGCTTGTTATTTGCGTTAGTTTGTGAAATTCTCTCAGTGGCTTGAAACAAAGTCTCCTCTTTCACACCTTTCAGTCTCAGAAAATTTTTAAAAATAAAACGTGGGTGCGGAAGAATTTAGGGTTTAACATCACCAAGTCCAGCAAGGTCTGTTATTTTTTTGGGGGTAAGAGATATTTGGTTTCTGCGTTGTTTTGGTTTCTCTCATTTTTTATTAGCTTTCTTTACTGCCCTTGGTGAATCTTATACTCATTTCTTGGTCCTTCTCTGTTCAGGAAAGGGGAATGAAATCCTTGTTTGAGTGTTTGGGTGATCTGAAAATTGAATTTTGAGTGGCGGGTCTTCTTTTTAGTGTTTAAAAAGATCTAATTTGAGCTTGGGGAATTATTTTTTGGTGGTAATATGGAGGAGGTTGAAGAAGCTAACAAGGCAGCAGTAGAGAGCTGCCATAGAGTTTTGAGTATTTTGTCTCAGCCTCAAGATCAAGTTCATTACAGGAATTTAATGTCTGAAACTGGGGAAGCTGTTTTTAGGTTCAAAAGAGTAGCTTCTCTTTTAAATTCTGGTTTGGGACATGCAAGAGTGAGGAAGCAGAGGAAATTACAAACCCCTTTTCCTCATAGCATCCTGTTGGACAATCAACACCACAAGCCACCAGATTATCCATCCAAGGATTTGCAACTCGGTTTCCATGAAAACTCAGCTCAAGAAGTGAGTTCACATGCCAAGAGTTCTCTGTATTTTGGAAACCCATCTTTGGAACTGAGTTCAAATGGCAAAATCCCTCTTCATCTCGCCCAACAGGCACCATCCGGCCACTATAATTTCCTCCTCCAACAACAACAACAACAACAACAGTTGCAACAAAGGTTACAACTCCAACAGCAACAGCAAATGAAACTTCAAGCTGAAATGTTGTTTAGGAAGAGTAACAGTGGGATTAACTTGAACTTTGATAGCTCTAGCTGCACACCTACCATGTCCTCAACTAGGTCTTTCATCTCTTCCCTTAGTATCGATGGAAGTGCAGCTAATTTCGACAATGGGAACGCCTTCCATTTGATCGGGGCACCTCGAGCCTCGGATCAGGGATCTCAGCACAAGAAGAAGTGCTCGGGCAAGGGAGATGATGGAAGAATCAAATGTGGAAGTAGTGGTAAATGCCATTGCTCAAAAAAGAGGTTCGATTCTCTCCTTTTACTTTTTTTGCAATTTTGGATCTTTACAGAATTATGCTTTTGACGTTAGTTTCTCACAACTGATTCGTTTCCATTATTGGTTGCATTATATTGACAGGAAGCATAGAGTAAAGAGATCAATCAAGGTGCCTGCTATCAGTAACAAGCTTGCTGATATTCCTCCTGATGATTATTCGTGGAGGAAATACGGACAGAAGCCGATCAAGGGTTCTCCTCACCCTAGGTAATCATTATCATTATATATCGTACTGATATTTGATACATTGCCAATACAAATTTTGGTGTTGCCACCTTGGTTTTGCTTTTGGCATTGCAAATTTTAGTGCAAACGGATACCATGCACTTTTAGACTGAAACAGAAAAGTTATGGAACTAAGGAACTCTATGATCTTAGCATCTGTGATATCTGATTATCAGTTCCAGAGGGGACTAGAAATTCTTTAACTTTTTGTGTTGTAAGTTGTTGATTAATGGTAGTGCTAGTTTCCATTGCGATTTTAAAGTATCTAAGGGAAGCTTGCTAATTTGTTGTGAGAGGTTACTGGAATCCATTGCAAAATATCGACTCAAACGCTTTTTCTTTCTATCTGGTACCAGGGGATATTATAAGTGCAGCAGTATGAGAGGTTGCCCAGCAAGGAAGCATGTGGAGAGGTGCTTGGAGGAGTCGTCGATGCTTATTGTTACCTATGAAGGTGAGCATAACCACCCAAAGTTACCATCCCAAACGATGACCTAGTCTTGGTGGAAACTCTGCTAAAGAATTCTTCATGTCTTCAATGTTCAATCAACTATGGTCGGCTCGACTTGGTCATGTACATAATTTTTTTGCATGGTGCAAGCTTGGGATATATCTGAACAGTTCTTTTTAACAATTTAGAAGCAGTCATGGAGCCTAGTGCTGAACCAAACGTGGGGTTTAAAGTGTAAAGAACTGTTTCATCTTCCATGGCAATGAAAAGCTTGATAAAGGGTTGAACTTTTTGAATTAAATGGGATGCCATAGATGTTATCTATGGTGTGTTTTCTTTTAATGAGAAAAAAGGTTGTGGGGTTGCATTTTCTTTTATGTGCAACATTTCATGAGTTGGGCTGGTGCTGGCTTTGCATGCCTAGGCGTGATGATATTTGGAACCAAACTAAAATTGTCGAAATGTTGTCCCAACTACCAGGTTTGGGCCATCATTTTTTCAAGCTTTTAGGCTATATTTGTTAGTACCTGTGAGCCTTCAAGGATTCAACAGGATATGCATTTTTGTACATACAGCTGGAAACTTGTGAATATGACATAACCAGCCAGAGTACAGGAAACTGGCAAGCTGAGTTAGCCACCTCCACTTATTTTATAATAACGTATGAGCCTCGCAACAAGGCATATGAACTTCGTAAACTAACATGGCTTGACAACACATTCCAATTGCATTCCCCTCTTCCATTGGCAAAAAGGCTGCCATTTCCCCCCGACCTTTGTCGTCTTAAGCTTGCTTGAATAGTCATAGGTATAAGCTGTGGGATAATGGTGAAATTTTCATGAGCATTGATGTATAGTAAAACTTATGGGAATTAAAGGGTACTTTTTTATTATTATTACAAATTTGGAGAAAAGATGTTATCGGGTTTTGAAGTTTGAAGCTGCTCAAGATGCCAACATACAACAAACATCGTCACTGTAACCGGTGGCGAATTTAAAAATTACAATATTATATTTAAAAAAATTAAGTATGTAAATTCTCATTAACAAATTAAACTAAAATTAATATATTTTTTTTTAAAATAATAGTTCCGCCCTGACTATAACAGTGACCCTGGTGACAGAATTTGAAGTTTGGATGATTAAAAAACATAGTATTTTGAACAACCCCGAATGCAACATTAGATGATATGTTAAATGGGTTGAAAAGGTGAATGAGTTGACACGAGTTAACAATGAGTTATTGATTTTAAAAAAAAAATTTCCTCATTTTCCCTGTACAATTGACATAACTGATTTACATTTGGTAACTGTAATCAATTTATGATAATTTTTTTGTTATTAATTTAAAGTAATTAAAAGGTAATATCTATTTTAAAAATTCTCACCAATTTGATAACTCTTGTAAATTTGTGATTGTTAAAACTAGCTGAAAATTTATAACAATAAATGAAGAGTGAAAAAGATATAAAGTGGAGTTATTTTCCATTTGGGTCAGAAAGTTGTGGAGTTTTTAATTATTGGTAAAGAGTATAAGAGATTCACGTACTTTCGGAAAAAAATTAATGTGTTTCGTTTTATTTTTTTCTCTCAATGTTACCCTTCAACTTAGAAAACAAGTTCAATGTGACTATTTGACGAACGTATTTCATCGTTGACCATTATACTACTAGCATGTCAGTTCACAATATTGACGTGGTGGACGTAGCAGTCTATTTGTCATTTTTGATTTATCAATTTAACTGATACACGGTGTGTTGACATGATTGTTCATCTGTCATGTTTGATTTATCAATTTAACTAATTTACCATGTTATCCACCACATTAATCTATCACCCTGGACTGTAATGTCAGTACCGTGAACTGTCACATCAACACCATAACGATCAACGATAAGAAAAAAATATTGATAAAAGAGTCATATTGAATTTATTTTCTGAGTTGGATGACTACATTGAGAGAGAAAATAATACGAGAGTGAGATTAATTTTTTTTCCAAAAGAGACCTAAACCTTTTTGCCTCAATTATTTCATACACTTTGAAGCTGGCCAGACCGGGTGATGGTAATAAATAGTTCAGAAGGGGAAGAGGAAATAGGAAAGAAATGCAAAGCTTAACTAAGTCCTTTTTCTAAATTTGAATACTCAACAGAGAAACAACACTAAACACACCGATCAAGCTTCAATAACAGAAAAACATTCCAATAAAACTAAGAGTGAAGTCATTCACTTAAGTGGAATAAACCTGGACGAATGGGTGGCACCAATACCAGGCCTTCCGTGCTTTACTGGCTTGTATGAGATTGAGAATTCAGCCAAATAGTGGCTAATCATTTCTGGCTTGATTTCCACTTGATTGAAGGTCTTTCCATTGTAAACACTGACGATACTACCAATCATTTCAGGAACTATAATCATGTTGCGGAGGTGCGTCCTAACCGGCTCGGGTTTCTCACCAGGTGGAGCCTCCTGTTTCTGTTTCAAGACAGCAGAATAGCATTCTCGATATAAGTTGCTACCAACAATTACTTGGATCATCATAAATAAAAACAGTTCAAGGGAAACTTTTATTACAAACAAGAAATCAGTTAAATATCCCAATGAATCATCAAAGCTACCTACTTCACTGGCAAAATTTGCAATAGAGATATGCTAAAATGACACTACACTAGCTAAAATAAGGGCAAAGGAGAAAGAAAGAAAATCATTTCATGATAGTTTTATGTATCGTGATATCACAAAAAACGATAGCTAGCTATTACAGCCATGAGCCCCTGGCATCATAAGCTTCCCAACAAAGTTGCTAGTGAAACAGGGAACTATATTATGTACACAGATCAAGCGAACCAAGCAAGAGGGAACAACAACTGTACTGTAGAACTATATGGTTATACGTTACCAAAGGGTTACAGAAAATCAGATCACTGGATGTGCAATATAAACAAAGTGGATATCGAAAACTACTACGAACAATAGACCACTAGGTATTGAATCTAGAAAGCATTTTGAAACTGTAGATGTTCATCGATACAATTTATCTATGTCTAGTCTAACATATGAAAGTAAATACACAACCAACCCCAACACTATGAAGAACATTAGGAGAGAATAATCCAAAATCTTAGGCATTTTGAGTTTTCACTCTCAAAACTAGAACATAAGCAGATCCACACATTAAGCAAACACACACAAACTCTAAAGTATCAGTTAATTCCTCATAGTTGAAAAAGAAGGAAAATAGAATAATACTCACAGCCTTGCGTAATTTCTTGATCAGAGCCATTGGCTTCCTCTTCAAACCCCTCTGAAACCTAAACTAGCAGAAATGAAATATCTAAATCTCAAAATCAACAGCCATTGAAGAAGAAAAAAATCAAATAGAGAAAATAACGAGAGGTAACCTTCGACGAGCACGAGCAGGAAAGAGCTTGACGAGTTCATCAGTGGGCATATCCAAGAGAGCATCGAGATCGACACCTCTGAAACTGAACTTCTTGAACGTTCTCTTCTTCGGTACCCTTGGTGCAGCAACATCAACATCCACGTCCGCCTAAACAAGAATGAAAAACAAAACATGGAAAAAACACCATTGTTATGACAGTGTTTGGATCCCGAGAAACTTGAAAAATGATCCAGAAAATGATGCTACACCGAATGTAAAGAGAGATAAGCGAAGCTAGAGATGACGGTGAGACCATGGAAAGAGATGAACAGGCAAACAACACCAAAATTGCGAAACCGCGGGTGCGAATTTATATGGCGTCCGGAATGGAAACTGGGCGTTTATTCTACTGACACGGATTGGATCCAAATTAATAACTGATTTAATTTATGATTTGACTCTAAATTACATCTATTCTCCTATTTTAATACCTAAAATTTATCACTTATTTTTTAGGCTTAAATTAAAGAAATTATGTCATTTTTTATTTAATTACTTAAACTATTTTCTTATCAAACTAAGGGTGCGACAGAACTTTTGAAAATTAATTTTTAAAAGTACGATAAAATTTTGTTTTAAAAATATTATTTAGAAATGTAATTTAAAATTTAATTGTTTAAGATTTTTATTAAAAAGTGAATTTGAAAATATAAAATGTCTATTAGACATTATGTTACAAATTCAAAATAAAATTTTTTAATTATATTTACCCTTATTAAAACTATGATATATAAAATATACCACTTAAAATATAAAAAAATATAAATAAATATAAATAAAAAATATAATTATAATAAAAATATAATTTATAATAACTCACTATTAATATTTCAATATATAAATCATGAATTTTATTTACTTTTAAGTAATTAAAATAAATTATTATGTAATAAATTATTTTTTTAATGATGTTAAAATTAAATTATTAAAACAAAACGTAAATAAATAATTGAATGGATTTCATGCATTAATAAGGGTAAAATTATAATTTTCTCCAAAAACACAAAACTGAAAATGAAAAAGCTACAAATTCTAACTTTTACGGTTGGTTTGAAACTACAATTTACACATTAATTTTATTTTTATTTTTTACCCGTTTGACATTGGTTTTGCGGTCAAAACTAACTTTTTAATTAAAATTGTGTTTAAAAAGTCAAGCCAAACAAGACCTAAGTTCTTAAACTACTATATATAACTACTCTAACTGTTTTTTTGTCAAAATAAATCTCTAAACTATGGCTTTTTTTGCTTTAAGCCTCTAAATTATTTTTTTTCAAAACAAATACTTAATTTTCATATGACGTGTCAATATCTTATTGATCAAAAAAAAATTTCTAACTAAAAAAATGATAGGATTTAAAATGATTAAATATAATAATTTAAGGGCTTAGTTTGACTAAAAAATATTTTAAGTATTTAAACAAAAAGAATGTATAGTTTGAGTATTTATTTTTTTCTTTGCCTATTTTTTTTAAAGAATAAACTACGACAAATGATAATTTAATTATTAGAGTAGACTAAAAGAATTAAGTATTTTTCAATCTCTACCTAAGTTCATATGTTCTAATTTTAGGTTGTTTTAATTCTCTTTTTAATTTGATTCACAACTAGCACACATTATGAAGTCGAGGTAAGGAGGCGTGTTTCACAAAACGAGCCTGGCTAACATGGCTGGAAGGCACGTCCTAGGAGGCTAGCTTTCTTCGAATTTCAGCTGAGGTGACGCGCCAATTGAGAGGCACGTCCTAAATAACGTGCCTTTGAGGGTATCTATGTGTCAGCTGGGAGGCGCGTCCTACAGAACAAGCTTTCCAAATTAAATCCATTTATGATTTTAGAGTTACG